CTCCACTGCCTCCACCACCTCCACTGCTGCCCCCACCACCACTCCCGCTGCCCCCTCCCCCACCCCTGCCACCCTTGCCCTTGCCGCTGCGGCGCTTCGCACTAGCAGAAGCAGCCCCGACATCCTCAGTACTAAGGACGTCTAAAGCAGCAGCAGAGGCGTAGGAGGGGGCAAGAGGGGAGGGGGAGCACCCCTCAAAGAAGGGCGTGCGTGGAGTGCCACGAGCAGCAGCTACAGCTACTGCACTTATCTCAGCTGCAAGGCGGTGCTGCTCGAGTAGGTCAACAGCAAGGGAGGTGGGGTCAAGGGAGAGAAAGTGGTCCCTGACAGAGCGAAGAGAGTCAGGGAGGCGGGTGACTATAAAGTAGAGAGTGATGAACATCTGAGGCTGATTCTTGTCAAGGAACTCAGCGGGGGCGGTAGCGCGGTAGCGAGCGTCGCTAGTTCGAAGGTGGGAAATTAGGTCCTCGACTGTGGCAAAGGTGGACAGCTCGGGGAACAGGTAGGGCAGTAGGAGGCGGCCTAGAGCAGCAGTGGCAGGCGAGGAGTAGCGAGCGACTACAGCGTCGTACAGTGTCTGTGCTGTCCTGTGCTGTCCGAAGTGAGCGCATTCTCTCAACGGCAGGTGGTTGCGAATGGCTAAGCGGGCAGCAGCGTCGCGAGTAAGCCACTGTGAGCGGGTCACACTGTCAGTTGTGGCGGGAGGGGCTGGAGCGGCGCCAGACATGTGGTCAAACAACGAAACACTGTCCCTAGAGTCGCTCAGCAGTTACAGCTGCTGGTCGTCGAGCCACATGTCAAACTGCAGGGGGCGTCCCTCATGATCGAACGCTAGCACGCGGAGAGAAGCCATAGTGGCGCAGCACTCAGGGCGGGCAGAAACCGGGCCGCGCGAGGAACAAGGTAGGCAGCAGGCTGCAGGAGGGGCGGCTCGAGGGCTTAGGGGCGACGGGCTGCAGGGCCAGGAGTGACGGGCTGGGGGCCTAGGGGCGACGGGCCGCGGGGCCTAGGGGCGACGGGCCATGGGGCCAGGAGAGATGGGCCGAGGAGCTGGGGGCCTAGGGGCTACGGGCCGCGGGGCCAGGAACAACGGGCCGAGGGGCCGGGGGCCTAGGGGCGACGGGCCGCGGGGCCAGGAACGACGGGCCCAAGGGCCAGGGGCGTAGGGGCGACAGGCCGCGGGGCCTAGGGGCGATGGGCCACGGGGCCAGGAGCAACGGGCCGAGCGGCTGGGGGCCTAGGAGCGATGGGCCGCGGGGCCAGAAACGAAGGGCCAAGGGGCCAGGGGGCCTAGGGGCGACGGGCCGCGGGGCCGGGAACGAAGGGCCGAGGGGCCGGGGGCCTAGGGGCGACAGGCCGCGGGGCCAAGAACGACGGGCCACGGGGGGGCCTAAGGGAGACGGGCCGCGGGGCCTAGGGGCGACGGTCCGCGGGGCCTAGGGGCGACAGGCCGTGGGGCGACGGGCTACGGGCTGGTCCTAGGGGGGGGCGACGGGCGACGGGCTGCGGGGCGACGGGCCTAGGTGGCGACAGTCGATGGGCCGGGCCTAGGGGGGACGACGGGCGACGGGCCGCGGGGCGACGGGCTACGGGCTGGGGGCAACGGGCCTAGGGCGACGGGCCGAGGCGACGGGCTTGGGGCGACGGGCCTAGGGGCCTAACGGTCGCGACAGGCAGTAGGGGCAGCTCGAGGTCTGCAGTGGGCGGCTAGCGGGGTAGCGCTGTGGTGGGCCCAAGGAAAAACGGTCCTAGCAGAGGACCTGCTCTGAAACCATGTCAGAAGAATGAACGAGAATGAATGAACTATGAAACAGTTGGGTACAAGTACTAACCTTAATTGGGTTGTACCCCTTTTGGGCTACCCCACTATAGCCTACACAAATGTAACCACTATAACATTCTGACAGTTAGCACTGCGCTTATGGCCGGTTCTCGATTATCAGCGCATCCCCTTAGAAACCTACACGTATTATAAGTGCACCCTTTTTGTTTTGTTTTTGTTTTGTTTTTTTGTTTTTGTTTTTTTACTTGTTACAAGACATTGAGCCATACCAGGTCTACGAATCCTACTAAATTTGTTTTTTATTAAACATAACAACGCATTTCAAGGGTTTTCTCTAGTGGCCTGCATGTCTAGCCTTAACCGACATTTCTAACAAGGGTTTGCACCTCTAGCTAGCCTAGCCTAGTGATGCATTCAGGGGAGGTCATACTCCTCGTCAGACTCAGGCTCCGGGCAGTTCTTGCCCTAGAAACCATCGGCGGCGACCTCGTCATCGATGTCTACTTCTTGGGTCAGCTCTCTCCTCCTATGCGCCATGGCGAGCTTGTCCTTGCTCCCATCAAGCGCATTGCTGATGGCGCAGGTGAGGAAGGCCCGCTTGATGAGGTCAGCAGGCACTGCCTTCCAGGTGCGGGAAATCCACCCGAGGACCACCTCAGGTGGTGGCTTCTTGATGTTCCCTGCAGCATAGGTAAGGGAGGGGAGAAGCGGCCAAAACAACAGAGGGGAAAAACCACAAGTGCGCAAGGACAACCCCTGGTCTATCTCACCTTTCTCTGACAGCGTGCTGATGACATCCTCCTCGAACCAGCTCAAGTACTACTGACGCACACTCGCCTTAAACGAATTGTTGACCGACACGTCCGGTGGCTGTACCTCCGCCGTACAGCCCCCCGGCATGACCGCCGGCACGATGTTCAAGTCCGCAAACTTCTTCTTCACCTCGTCGGTCAGATGACTGCGGTCGAAGTCGAGCACGAGCATCACACTCCTCTCGTGCACTCTGAATCGGGGCTTGACGCCCTCATCAAGCCACCGCTTGACGCTTGCGGCGTCCATCCATCCGTTCTCATTGACCGCCACGACGATATATGCGCATAAGAGAAAGAAATGCTCGTTAGTTCTAAAAGAAAGAAAAAACAAATACCACACAAGAAGAACACATAACAATGATTACCGAACGGGAAATTTCCCTTCGGGAGGGTCATGCGCTTGAAAAAAACCCACGATTTCAGCTTTTCTCCATCGCCGTGCACGCCAGCATCACCGTGATGCACTCCTTCTTGTAAGTGCCACTCTTGATGGGAACATACTTCACGCCCGTTTGATCCACGGTGGTGGTTGCTGGCATCTCCAGCCGCATCAGCAGCTGGTCGGCGTCGATGATGAAGTGGTTGTTGATGTCGTACTCATGACGCCGGTCTCGGACGTAGTGCCATAAGTTCTTAAACTGCTCCGCAACATCTGTGCACGGGGAGGAAAGGGTACAGTGTAGAATGGGATATTAAACTAGTATGAATTCTAGAGAAATAAGAACGAATTGGGTTAAAGGAAAAACAAGGAAATCCAAGGTGGGATGCCACTTATGCTCGGATGTTTTCTGGGTCACCTTAGTCTTCATGCGCACGCTGATATTCCACCGTTTGCGGAAATGCTCCGACCACCGCTGGCTTCCTTTCCACTTCACGTCCGAGAAGAGCACATTCATGAACTTTCGTGACCATTCATGCCGACAACCGACAGACCCGGCAATACCCTTGTGCCGCCAGTCGAGGAGCTGCTCGTACACCTTCATCTCCATCGGCCAATAACATGAAGCTCTGCCGCGCTTGTGCAGCCGCTTCCGTGCGCCGTGAGAGTCTTTGACAAGCTACGCTCGATTCTTCCACTCGTGCTACCTCGCTCACTGACGCTGCAACCTCCTGGCGCACGAGCTGCCGAAGCTTTTCTTGGGCGGTAAAAGCTTGATGCTTATGCTACATCAGCTTGTGCCTAGAAGAGGGGGGGCAGGCATCACAATTCTCATGGGTGGGGATGCTTTCGGTTAGCTGGCAAAAATGATGAAATCAGCAACTTCTTATGTAGGCCATTGCGCGACCAGTAGTCGACGCCGTCATCGTCATCGGCGCTCACACCACTCTCTTGAAACACAAGCCTCAACGCCCACATCAGCCTCGGCACCCTTGTCGCCCTCAGTGTGATGCTCATCGTCGGCCGCCACATCGTCCTCGGCGTTGTCCGCGGGCTCTTACCACGGGCACTCTTCAGGCTCGCCCCAACGTGGTGCTGCGCCAGAGCTTGGATATGCTCCTCTGGGGGCTTGTTGGATTCCGGTTCCGACAACAACTCATCGAACGTCAATGGCAGCAGGAGCGTGAGGACGGGCCGATTGCCAGTGTATGCTGGAGCAGGCGGATTTGGAGGAGCAGGAGGAGCGGGAGGAGCGGGAGGCACTGGAGGAGCAGGAGGAGCAGGGGGGGCAGATGGCGTAGGATTTTGTGGTGGCTCAGGTGGCTCATGTGGGACACGACTCCGTCTTCGCTAAGTCGCCATGCGGGCCTAGGACGCTTCTTGAAAGGAGATGGGTGCTAGTGACTCCTGCCATGGCTTCCGCAGCTAGGCGGGAGAGAGAGAGAGAGAGAGAGAGAGAGAGAGAGAGAGAGAGAGAGAGAGAGAGAGAGAGAGAGAGAGAGAGAGAGAGAGAGAGAGGCCCTAGTCCTTAGCCTCTCCAGCCCTCTCCAGCCTAGTATAAAGGCCCTAGGACCTTGTCCTAGAGCCTCAATATTCAGTTCTGTGTTCATTTTTTCTCCTAGCCGAGTGGCTCTTCGAGAGAGAGCGAGAGAGAGAGAGAGAGAGAGAGAGAGAGAGAGAGAGAGAGAGAGAGAGAGAGAGAGAGAGAGAGAGGGAGAGGCCCTAGTCCTTAGCCTCTCCAGCCTTCTCCAGCCTAGTATAAAGGCCCTAGGACCTTGTCCTAGAGCCTCATTATTCAGTTCTGTGTTCATTTGCTCTCCGAACCGAGCGGCTCGCGCCGGCCGCCGAAGGCGGCCGACGCTCGACAGCGCGGCCTTCGGCCGCGCGTGAGGATCGGCAAGAACAAACACACGCAATAGATACTAAGCAAGGACATACATACAATGAAAGTTTCAATAAGCACCTAGACAGGCATCAACAACGGCCTAAGCAACAATGGCAACAACGGGACAAGCGGAGCCCGGATCTACATCCGGTGAGCCCCGAGGGCATGGAGAATGCCCGTCAACGTCCGCCACAGCTCACGGACCACCAGCGTACTTGCGCCGATCGCCGCGGCTCCAGATCCTGCGCGCAAGTGTCGCCTCAGGCCCCGGACAGCCTCGTCAAGCTGTCCCACTGCCGCAGCGCCACCCTCTACGGGCGCAGCCAACGCGGGCGCCAGCAGCTGCGCGAGCTGGTCCGCCGTGTCCAGGCAAGTCTTGCGAGGCCGGTCATGAAACGAATCAGCAGGGATCGCAGGGAGAGAAGAGTGAGCCAGCACCTGGATCAGCAGCAGTGCGTGAAGGCTCTCTGCAAGACGGTGCAGCTGGCCGAGTGTCGCCTCAGGAACACGGGTCTGCGGGGGCTGAAGTGCCACCGCCAAGAACGGAAGCGGCTCATCGGGAGCAAGATATGGAGGGTACTGCGCCCCCGCCGCCCCTCCACCAGCAGGAACGAACTCGACACCCGCCACCGGCGGCACGGGCGACAGGCGAAGACGAGACCCAGGATCAGCAGTCGAGGCAGCAGGAGCATGAGCCGATGGGGCAAGGACAGGAGGAGGAAGTACAGCAGCCGGTGGAGGGACCACGGGAGGCACAGCCCAGCGAGGAGCCACGTGCGCTGGCGCGGCCCGCAGTAAACTACTCTGGCTCTGCGCCGCCCTCTCCTCGCGCACGGCCCTCGACACCTCCCGCTGAAGATCCGCCATTGTCACAGGCGGATGGTATCCCCCGCCACCACCACGCCCGCAGGGACCCCCCCAGCCCGCATTGCCACCGGGGTGAGCAGGCCATTGGGCCTACCGCTGGTAGCGTCGGGGAGAGTTGCGCCGGCGCCGCGACGACTCACGCTCCTGCTGGGGCGCGGGAGAATGGGGGCGAGATAGGCGGCGGTCTGGCGACGGGGGACGAGACGGCTGCGCTACCGGTGCCGTCGGCAGCACAGCAGGAGCAGGTGGGTCTACGACCAGAGTCTCAACCATCGGGGCCGGGCCACCAGTGGTGGCGGACGCCGCCTGCGGGGACGACGCGGACACCGGCGCAGGCACGTCGGGGACAGAAGCGGCCGGCGCAACGGGTGCGCCAGAGGCAGGAGCAGGGGGATCAGCAACCTCCCCAGCAGGAGCAGACGCCGCCGGCGCAACCAAGGGAGCGAGGGGGACAGGAGCATCAGCCGGAGCGGGCGGAGAAGCAACAGGGGCAGCCGGGCCAGTCCTGCTCACGGGATCCGCGGGTACGAGGGGAGGAGTCTTTCCAGCGACTGTTGTCACGGGCTTCGGAGCCGGCGGTAGAGGGGGCTTCGCTGCCATGGTCATCTTTTCGAGCCCCGATGGAGGCTTGGCGACGACAGCCGACCAGGCGGCAACGAGCTCTGGCGACGACTCAGGAGCTCCGGCAATCACCATCGGGGGAGCAGGGGGGTCGCGGAGGCAGAAGGCTGGTTTCTAGCGGGACAGGCGGGGGTCCGGAGAACGGGTACCAAGCAGCGGCGAGAATGGCTTTAACGGCGTTAGCAGCAACTAATGATGAAGAGGATCTAAGGGACCCATCTTATAGGGAAGAATCCCTCCCACCAAGCGAGGACGCGGAATCGGAGGGAGAAGGCAGGGTGAGAGAGGCAGAAGGGAGAAGAGCAAACGAGGTGGGCCGCTCGACCATGCGAATACCGCAAGCGGATCAGCGACCGTCAGATGCTGATCGAACGGGTGGCAATCAAACCACCGACGCACCAACACGGGCGAGCCGCGGTTGACGAAATCGAACCGCCGCTGCCAACACCGCGACGCGCCAAACCATTCTGAACCCCCGCTACTTTTCGCCAGACGAGCGGGGCGAGACGTGATGACTTGTTCGCGGCCATCGCATGCTGGGACATTGCAGCTCTCTGCGACAGTCGACAGCCTCCGCTGTCACGGCGTTTACTGCCAAATCTATGCCAGCTGTTTCGCAGGCACTTCTGACACCGTTACTCCACCTCTCACGAAACCCCGAATCCGAAACGGGCTGGCGTCTGCTGCTATTTCTCCCTTGCCTAACACTTTGCCAAACCTCGCCACAGCGACCAGACTGGCCGGGGGTCAAGGCCCGGCTCCGAGCTTTCCAGCGTGGCGAATGGGAACAGCTGTACCTGGACACGGTGGACGCGGTCAATACACCCCCACCGCCACGACACCAGCCTGACGCGACCGGAGTCATCAGCCGAGCTGAGGGGCTCGCAAAACGGGGGAGTCTACGCCGAGTCGTGCTGGCACTGGAGTCAACGCCGGTCTGCACCCCCAGCCCGGAAATATTGGAGGAGCTTCGCCAGAAACACCCACCTGCTGTACACGAGGCGGTGACCTGGCCTGTGCCACCCGAGTCGAAACTGTCCATCACTCATGCCGAGTTTGCCAGGATTCTGGGAAGATGCGAGAACGGGGTGGGGGCCGGACCTTCTGGCACAACATTTGAGCACATGCGCGACGCGGCCACCACTAACGCAATGATTAGCACCCACCTGCACGCCTTGGTCAACACCCTGCTGGGGGGAAATTTACCAGGCCCAATCGCGAACCTCCTGACGGCGTCGAGGCTGATAGCCCTGGCCAAACCTAGGGGAGGGGCCCGGCCAATTGCGATAGGCGAGTGTTTGACAAGGCTGACAGCCAAGGCAGCCTTGACAGCCATAGGGGAAGCTGCCCGAGAATATTTCCTGCCACTTCAGTACGGCGTGGCAGTTCCAGGTGGAGCAGAGACGGTAATCCACACAGCCAGAGCATTTCTGGATGCCCGCCCCAACTGCCTGGTCCTGCAAGCGGATATTTCAAACGCTTTCAACAGTATCTCGCGACAGTCCATAGCCACAGCGTTACGCGACCCCGAACTCTCGCCACTGCAGCCGTTCGTGAAACTGACCTACGGTAACCCGTCGCAACTGCTCCTGGACACGAAATTCAACTCCGAACCCTTACTCAGTGAACGGGGCGTGCGGCAGGGGGACCCACTCGGCCCGCTACTGTTTGCAGCAGGGATACACCCCACGCTTCGCGACACTGCAGAAGCACACCCCGACGTGCTTTGCTTGGCGTATGCGGATGACGTCACCTTCCTGGGTGACCCATCCCGCACTGTAGCGGCCTTCATGCATTTCACAGCCAAATTAGCGCAGCTGGGCCTGACGCATAACCCTCGGAAATGCGCGGCGTGGAGTTCAACCACAGTCACACAGACTCAACTTCCGCCCGGGGTGCCGTTTTCCAAGGACGGAGTACGGCTCCTAGGTAGCTACGTTGGGACTGACGTCGGAGCAGCCGGGTTTCTTTCGGGCCAGCTAGAAGGGATGGCTAAGCCATTACCGCTGATTGAGCGAGCTGACCCCCAGGTGGCAGCACTACTCCTCACGCGATGTATTTCCAAGCGTGTAGCTTACCTCATTAGGACGACTCCCCTCCACCTACTCCCTCGCACCACCTGGAGCCAGTGGGGAAGGGACCTACTCATAACCTTACTCACCTCATGCGACATCCGCGTGCCAACGTGTGGCGCCGAGCAAAAGCGTGTCTGGGAACAAGCGTCATTGCCGACGTCACTTGGCGGCATAGGCATAACGGACCCGCTCGTAGAAGGGATCTACGGTTTCACAGCGAGCTTCACCCAAGCGGCCCTTTTTCTTTCCTCCCTCGTGCTAGAACCAGACAGTGCGCTGACGCTGGCCAAGAACCACATGGTGGCGCCCCGGGATGACAGCACCCCCCTACATTCGTGGCTTACGGAGTGTGAAGCAGCCCTGCCCCTCGACGCGCGGGAGATCCTGGAGAAGGAGCGGTTAGAGCGATCGGACGTTAGGCTCCAGCACGGGCTCGGCTTGAAGGTGCACGGGAGCAGATACGCTGCGCAGGTCCAGGCAACTAGGAAAATGCAACCAAACCCTCTCTCGGGCCACACGCAGCGGATGTTCTCGCTGACTGGGTATGGCACCGGGGACTGGCTGACGGCGATTCCAATCGAGGCCACCAGACGACTCGGCCCTGTGCACTTCGCAAACGCCGTGCGGTTTCGGCTGGGCCTCCCCTTTTCCACGCCTAAGAACTGTGACTGCGCAGAACGGACAGCCATCACAGATCCTCGCCTCCCGAACCACCTCCTCCGCTGCGGCACGGGCAAGCATCGCATTAATACCCCCAATGAGCTGCGGGATGCTTGCATTAGCATGGCGCAGCACGCAGGCTTCATTGTTCACAGCGAGTCGGCTGTTTTCTGCCCCATCGAGGAACAAACCGCAGATTTCACCATGACGGATAGAAGCAGTGGGGCAGTTTACGTGTGTGACATCACCGTCACTGACCCTATCAGCACGAGGGACCGGGAGGCAGAGAAAGGCAGGGGCTGGGCGGCTCGGGAACAGGCTGATAAGAAAATCAAGCACTATGCCAACCGGCCAGAGACAGTGGGTTTTTTCCCACTAGCGGTAGACACCTATGGCTGTCCATGCGCGGAAGTCCCTGTCTTCCTAAAACTACTCGCAGATACTGCGGCTCGGCGGCATTTCAACGCCGACTCAAAATCCTTTTACGCCGCCAAGTTTCTGCACCTTTTTCGGCAGCGCTGGTCAGTGGCCCTTCAGAGGGCCCAATCGGTTGGTCTACTTCTCAAGTTGGGCGAGGCGGCAGTAGCAGAGAACCCGCCCGTAGGTGGCATTGGTCAGGAGCTTCACCCCGGGGACTGTTTTGCGGTGGTTGAGCCCTACCTAGAGCTCTAGAGAAGGAAATGGGTAGGAAGTGTTGTGTTGTGGTGTCTGTTTTGTTCTAGAATCTCAACACCTGCATGCTTGTACTTTGCTACTCTATCAATACAAGGACCATTAGAGAGAGAGAGAGAGAGAGAGAGAGAGAGAGAGAGAGAGAGAGAGAGAGAGAGAGAGAGAGAGATGGGCACTAGGCCCACTCCTTAGCCTCTCTCAGCCCTCTAGCCTAGCATAGTCCTTAGCATAACTTAGTATTAAGGCCTTCTAGGCCTTGTGTCCTTAGTGTAGCCCCTGTAGTAAGCCTATAAGCAGTACAAGCTCCTATATAGCCTCCTAATTTCCAGCCATTATTCTCTGGTGAGTTTGGTTCCTTCCAACCCAGCGGCTCGCGCCGGCCGCCTTCGGCAGCGACGCTCGACAGTGCGGCCTTCGGCTGCGCATTTGGGGTGGCAAGTGCAAAAGGCCAAGGGAAGCAGTAATCGCAGTGAGCAGTACAAGCATGCAGGCATAACACGGGAAGGGTTACACTAAGGTAAGTCCCCAACAATGGGGAGGATGAAGCCAACAGCCAAGGTGGCCACGGAGGAGCCGCCTACATCCGATTCACCCGTCGCCCCAGCCACTGGAGCAAAGACGCGATCGCAGGAACGATCCTCAACAACGACTCCTCAGCAGCCGTGGCTACCCTGCGGAAAGCCGCAGCACCAGGGCCATCGTCCAGCAAAGGGTCCTCAGGCTTGAGCGGCAAGTGAAGGAGCTCCCACAGCACACCGGCCACCGCATCACGTACCCACCCCTGCTGGTCCTCATCAAGCTGGGGGTCACGAGCCACAACTTCCCACTCCTGAAGGGCGACGTGGAGCTGCTGAAGCACAGTCGCCAGATAAGTCACGCAGCGCCCAACCTGCGACAACCGGTCACCACGGGCGCGGAAAGCCCCCTCGCCGGGACGGGGCTGCCCCCAAGGAGGGCTCGAGGGGGGAGTGTTCTGTCAAACATTATATATATGTTATTGCTGTGTAGGCTATAGTGGGTTAGTCTTTAGGGGGTACACAACTCTAGGGTTTCATACTTGTACTCCAATGTTTCATAGTTCAATCACTTCTTGTTTTTGACATGGTATTAGGAGCTTAGGTCCTAGTCCTAGGACCGCTTACCTACGGGCCCACCACTAGAAGCGCCCTCGAGCGCTGTATCTGCTTAGCGCCCTCGAGCGCCTCTCTCCTAGTGCGCCCTCGTGCGCCTCTCTTCCTCCTTTGCCCGTGCGCAGCTCGCTAGTGCCGCGCGCGGCCCTTTTTTTTTTAGCGCGCGTAGCCCGCTAGCAGCCCGCGCGCCGACCCCTAGCCGCCCGCGCGACCGACGCCGCCCACGAACAGCCCCCTAGCCGCCCGTCGACCGCCGCCCAGGACGTCGCAGCCCCGCCCCGTAGGCACTGCTCCCGCACCTCCCACTACTGCTGACAGTACTGCTCGCTCCCAGTGGCAGACCCGTGATGCTCACGCTCGCCTAGCCGTTCGCAGCCACCTACCGTTAGATGAGCGCGAGCACTTCGGCCAGCATAAGACCGCTAAGGAGCTGTACGACGCAGTAGTCGCACGCTACTCCTCCCCTGCCACTACTGCTATAGGCCGTCTCTCACTGCCCTATCTCTTCCCCGACCTGTCTGCGTTTGCCACTGTAGCT